AAAAAAAAGAAGGAATGTATGCAATACCCTGGTGGAGAAGGTTCCCTGACCTGTAGGAAAATCCTGAGGCCTTCAGACACTCAGGTAGAGAGAGACTTTGGGTAGGAGCTCAGAACTCTCAACCTAGTGTGGACTGTGACGATAACTGTACAGTGTCCCTGCTCCTCCTCCCTGCTCCTGCTCCTAAGCAGCAGTAGATGACTAGAGAATAGCCTGTCATGTCTGTTGTTTGTGTGCTGGGATCAGCACTCCTCCAGCCAGTTCAGTGGCCCATGGAGCTATAGCACAAAGATTCGTTCTGCTTCCCCATTCCTGTCATCTCTGAAGGCTCCTAGCTCCCTGAGTACTTGCAAAGCTGAGCCTGGAATTAGGGAGCCCTGGTTGTGTTGGCAGCCAGAAGAAAACTGGAGGCCATGGCAGGTATGTGCGAGCCAGAAGGGTGCAGCCTGGGGCACCCTATTAATGTCAGTGGAAAGAGAGCTTTAAAGTCCCTGTGGCAGCTTTGACAGGATCTGCTAATTTGTCGTGGAAAGACAGAAACATGGATTTACAGAGACAGCTGAGATCTCCTAAGCTGACAGCAGGCAGACCTGCAGAGAGAGGCAGAGAGAGATGGATCAAATAGGAGGGATAAGATAGATAAGGCGTCTGAGGTATCTCTTCTCTCTCTTCTCTTATCTTTCCAAATGGAAGAGTTCCTTGAGAGAACTGGTGTTAAGCCACAAATATACAACCATATTTCCCAACATTTTCCTGCTGTTCAAGGGTATTTTCCTGCATGGACCTGATAAAGCTGGCAAGCGTTTCCTGGGGGGAAGAAGTGTGTGTTGATGAAAAGCAAGGACTTACCCAGCAATTGCCCCAGGAAGGCCATGAGGATGAGATATCCGAGGTGCATGCTGAGACCAACCTCCCTGTTGGGTGAGTGAGAGAGAGTCAGAAAACCACCTCCCAGCCCCAAGATAACAGAGCTACCGGAAACGACTCTTGAGGGAGCAAAGAAAGAAGTAGGGCAGAGCAGCGATCTGTTCTTCCTGTGCCTGAAATGCTGCTTCTGGGTTTCTCCCTCCTGCAGCAGCCACACCTGTGGCTCCTTCAGCCAGTGGCCCTCTGAACATTTCCACGAGGGTCCCTAAGAACTCTGGGGACCCCACTCATGGGAAGGGGCAGTTCCCAGTCATCTCACTGTGAGGTCATCAACTACACAGATAGAATTGCCTGCTCTTCTGCACAGCCACTTCTGGGCCATTTGGGAGACTGGAGGACTCTTCCCCAATGAGCTTGCACATCTTCCCCTGGGGTCCTCAGCTCACTAGGGACAAAAGTCTCCTCTGTTTCTCTCACTTCTGCCCTTTGTCTCCTCAGCCACCTGGAAACAACATCTCCCCTTCAGATCTCCCAAAACAGGAGACGAATCCTGCTGTGTGGCAGCCCAGGGCTTCTAGCTGTGTCTTGTTTCCGTGGAATAACCCACAGTGCAAGAAAGGAACCTGACTCCAGCAGGGCTGCTGGATGCCACAAGCCCAGAGGTGGTAAGGACAACTTATTCCATAGGTAAAAGGGGGAGGGGTCAGCAGGGAAGAGGATCAGGGGTTAGTAGGTCACCCTCTCACACCCAGGGAGCAGATGGGACACCCACTGGAGTGCTGCACTCTGAGTGGTGGGGATGGGGCAGCCATGCACCCCAGAGCTGACAAAGCATGTGAACGGGCAGGGGGGTTGGCAGGTAGAGACCCCTACTGCCAGCTCCTTTCCAGATTGACTTCAGAGTAATCCTATGCAGCAGTCACAGCAGAGATAACAAAGTGTTCATTTTGGTTGAGTCTAACGTGGCTTTTGCTCTAAACACCCTCCACAGTCAGGTGAACAATGATACAAGTAGTGATAATTCTAATAATAATATTCTTATGGAAGTGCTGCACCTCCTCAAGTTGTAAAATGAGCTTTCTAGAGATGTGGAGGGTCCTGAGGCAGAGACAGTCTTTCCCAGGTGGAAAAGCAGGCTGGAGCTTACTCTCCGAGAGATTCCTGAGATGTATCTGCCTTCTTAGGCTTCACAGCAGACATAGGACTTGTACAGGAAGGTGAAGATTTTGGATTTCTACTGAGACATAGTGTTCAATATGCAATCATCCTTGCTGACCACAGGACCACATCACTGGGAGTCTCTCTTTTCTCAATGCTTGTGTCTCCTTTCTCACCATCCTTAATACTTTATCAGGCTGAGCTACACCTGGCTCCATCACAATGTCTGCTCTCACACCTCCCTCAGCACATCTCTAGGATGTAGTTCTCACACCTGATGAGTGACACTCAAAGCCCTGCAGACCCCAACTGTCCCTTTTAAAAACTCCAGGTAGTATAAGAATTCTCCTCCTATCCACACAAAAATACCTCCTGAACCAGTGTATCTACCTGCCTGCCTGTAGTGGCCCATAGTGTCCAGAAGATGATCGTTCATGGTGAAGCTGGGGATCTGCATGACAGCTGTCTTGAGTAGGCACAGATCTATGCTGTGCTGTATATACCACTTGGCTCTTGGCAATGATGTCACAAGCATGTCCTTTTGTGTGAGCCAACACAGGCAGGACGCAGGAACAACCACAAAACCACAGACAAAATGCAAAGAGTGAATTTATTTTTGTTACCTCACAAACCAGGGGATGTCTGAAGCAGCACTTGGGCAAAGGCACACAAGCAAAGTGGTAGTGCAGGCACTGTGGATCTCTGTCCTTGCTAGAGAGAGTGAGTTACTGAAGCTGCTGCTGTCACCTGTGTATCAAGGATACACACAGGTGTAGCTTTCCACTGTGGTTTGATCTTTCCCAGGGCAGGAATCTCAAGCTTGTTTGATAAGGTGCCTCTGAGTCTATCACAGGCTTATGTTACCTAAACACAGCTGTCCTACTTGTCAAGCACACAAGACTACACAACGATTAGTACGGTGTATCTCTTTTTCTACACCTCAGCTGCAAGTCACTTGAGTGTGTTTACAATCCTTCTTGCCAGTCTTCCATTATTATCCCACACTTTGTCTTTATGTAGGAGCGAAACATCATGTTTTCATACAAATGTTAATTTGATCGACAGTAGAAATGTTGTCTATTTCTAACAAAATCCCATGGCGACTCCAAAGACGACAATGTCAGTGAATCTCAGCACAGGTAAGATTTGCAGCATGTTACAAACTGTGAATCAAGGTCCAGTTCATGATCCATAATAATGACTTGCCAGCATCTGAAGGGGCAGAAGATAACCTATGCTATCCCCCTTTTCCTCCTTGTATTATCTCCAATCAATTGTATTTTCAACAACACCTTCTGCAGCCAGAGTGTCATTCTTACTGGGATCCATCTACGTTAATGCTCCAACCTCACGGGTACAAACAAAATAAATTCCTAACTTCCAGTAAAATTTTCCCCTGTTCCACACTGTGCCCATTGCCTTTCTTTCTATCACTATGCTTAGGAAGATTTTCGCTCCTTTTGGCTTCCTCCAGTTTTTCTCCGAGTTTAGTTCCAGAGGTTCCATTCTCTCTTCATCCTCCAGTTAAGTGTCAGAAGATTAAAAAACTCTCCCTTTAGCTTCTCCTTTGAAGACTGAAGCAGGTAATTTCTTTCAGTCTCTCCTCATGTCTCATGTTACACAAACATAGAATTATTAAATTTGGAAGGGACCTCTGGAGGTGACCTGGTCTAACCCCTTACTCAAAAAGGCTTACCTAGAGCTGGTTGCCTAAACGGTGTCCAGATGGCTTTTGAGTGCCTCCAGGAAAGGAGACTCTAGAACCTCTTTGGGCATCCTGTGCCAGTCCTCACTCACCCTCACAGTAAAACATTGTTTATGATAAAAGAGACTCCTTTGTTTCACTTTGTGCCAGATGCCTCTTGTTCTGTCACTGGACACCATAGAACCCTCTCTGCCTTCTTCATAGACTCCCTTCTGTCACGTTAATTTGGCAGAAAATAAACATCCTCGTGTTCTAACTCTCCTCACCGAAGTGAGAGGCTAGGTGCAGCTAGGTTTAAATTCTGAGTGATATCCAATTTGCCACTACCAGTCCAGTCGCGTTTAATATGTATATTAAACTACCACGATTCTGGACACACTAATAGCAGTCTGCACCTTCAGTCCAGTCGTGCTCATGAACTAGCACGGCCACGTTTGGTCGCGTTCAGTGAGAAACTGTGACCACTGGCTACTTAAACAGTGCAGTTTTATTTGTGCAACAGGCATATATGTTTTTTGAATTGCCGGTGATAGTGACTGTCTGCAAGAAAGCACGTGCAAATATAAAATGTGTGAAAAGGTTATAAATAATACAGCCTGGCTATAAATATTAGGGAGTAACTATTACCAAGAAAAGCGCTTAGTTTGAGTCTCACCCAAGGTGTCCCAAGCGAGGGAGCAGCAAGGCTCAGCCCGTCGGCCAATCCCGGTTGTCAGAGGCAGTCTGAGGTGGAGTTCCCTTGACTTGCTCACAGTGTTATCTTCTTCTCCTCTGAAAATCCATGGTGTTATCTTCTTCTCCTCTGAAAATCCATGGTGTTATCTTCTTCTCCGAAAATCCCCCATTTCCCTGGCTATTTTTATATCCTTTCTACCTTTAAGGTGGAGTTTGAGTGACTGTAGTCATACATACCTTTTATCACGATTGGTGCAAAATTCTCTCGCTTCACGTTTAAAGGCATAGTTTACGAAAAATTGAGAGCGCAGACTCAAAGAGGGGTGGTCGCACCTCGGAGGCGGGTAGCCTTTGGGGTGGAGGTGTGTTTTGGTATTAAAATGATATTAAAATGAACAAAGTTCACGAGAGGATAGCACTTGGGCAAGCTTTCGAACACCTGTTGGCTCAGGGGGCCAGATGAGCTGCTTATCAGTTCTAGAGAACCATTTATTCCTACTTTATCATCACGGAGCAGGGCCACGGAATCTCCACTCTGCTCCATCCTCTACGGTACATTGCAGGGAGCTGCTGTGTTAGTGGATTCCTCGCATGCCTGCTGCAGCTGTGTCCCATCCTCAGAGCTCCTTTTGATTTCATGCTTTTTCTCAATGGGTGAACACTGCTATGTTTTTCATATAAACCTTAATTTTCAGATGTAAACCCTTAATTTTACTAATAATTCCATACCTTCAGATAATTGTACACATTGATGAGATCTCCTCAGTCTATCACTGTATTGGGGATGTTGCAGTCTCTTCATCACCTAAGTGGCCTCTCATTTGACTGTCTCCAGCATGCCTGTGACTTACAATTCCCCAGTGAAAACAGCCCCCCTCAAACCATAAGCACACTCATATTCATGTATCCCTCAAATATCATCACAGGCCCTCAGTCCATAGAATAGCCCTACCTGGAGCCTGGGTCCTGTTACCCAGCACCTGGGTTCTCCTCTGTGGCAAGGCCAGCCTGATTTCACTAGCAAGCAGATGCATGAAATCACCCATGCCTCTTAAAATCACCCCCACACTCCTGGATCCCTCAAACATTACCACAGGCTGGTAATATCAGCCTACTTAGTGTCCATGAGTGGGTGCTGCACTCCCTTACCCACCTCTGTCTCAGAATTAAGATCCAAGTTTTCCTCCCACTCACTGGTTAGGTCAGCTCGAAATATGCTACCAAATTCCACATATACACCCATGCACATTGGGTTCAATACACTAAAGAAAACTTGAAACACACTGAGATCCCTCCAGTCACTGGTTTTTAGACTTGCCTCACATATGTGTGCAATGTGGTCTCTCGAGATGTTGACAGCAAGAAGCATGACCCCTGTGACGTGTTCTTCCCTCTCCAGTTGCTGGTGCTCAGAGCTTGCTTGCACCCCAGTCCCTCCAGCTGCTGGCACAGAGACTGACAGGCCCTGAGACCAAAGACCTCTTCTCCAGTTA